CTGCCTGGGGCTGCAGCCTCCACAGCCATCCCTGGGCTGGGACCTGAGGAGTCTCAGGCCTTTCCCTCCAGGTCCTGACTCTCCTCTATCTCATCCTTCAGGGGCACTTCTCTGGGAGGTCACAAGGATGCACCTCAGTGTTGTGAGGGGGGAGGCTATGGGACCACCTTCCTTAGTCACAGTGTCTGTGTTCTGTGCCCTAAATGGACCCATAAATGCGTATCTTCATCCAGACGGGATTAAGCCACCAGCTCAAACCCCTGTGGTTCTGAGAAAACTCAACCATCTTGGAAGCCCCGCCCACCAACGTGTGGACAACATGACTGATTCTTCAGTGCATTTGCTCCTGTGGACTTGGGGGTGTCCACCCAGTTGATCCTGACCCTGTGACCCTCCCTGCCCCAGGGGACTGTGGGTGGCTCAGTGGCTGGGTGAGGTGAGCTCAGAGTCCAGGCCCTGTGACCCTGTGGCCGGGTCAGGGGGCTCCCACCCTGTGTGTCCATGGGCCAGGACCAGCTGTGCTGTGCTAATGTATGGAGGGTGGTGGGACATTCAGAGGTGTGGCCAGCTCCTCAGACAAGTGGAAGTAGAGAGGGTGCCCCCCCCCACCGTATACTCATCTCCTTGTGCCCATTCTGGGTCATGTGGGGGATGTCCTCTGTGCTGGGAGGTGCACAGAAAGAGGCCAGGTGTTGGCGCTGTGGGTGGTGAAGGGCCAAGTGAGTGGTGCAGAGGAGTGGAACTTGGGCTCAGTGATGCCCCCCTTCAAATGAGCCTTGGGAGACCTCCCCTCTCTCAACCGGGTGTCCCCCACACCTCAGTTTAAGATGTCTCCTCCTCGGCTCACCTGGGCAGTTGGATCCTGCCTCATAGGTCATGATCTGGTGGGGTGTGTTCACCTGCCAGTGACTCCTGCCCTCTGCTTCCAGGCCCCGCCTTCCTGGATTACAAGGTGGAGAACAGCATCCGCTTGGGCCTGGCGGGCGAGGTCTTGCTGATCCTGGTGGCGATTCTGGTGGAAGCTGGGCTCAGCCAGCCCAGGTCCCCACAGGGACTCCTGGAATAAAGACAAGAGAGCCTCGAGAGATAGGGGGCCCCAGGGCCACAGAAGGGACCTCCCTGAGGGCCCAGAGGCTCATGCTGGAGCCCAAGAGATTCAAAGCTGCCCCTGTTTTTGTTCATGGACAAGAGAATCCACATGGTTATGATGCTTTGTGTAGGGAGCGGCTCTATGGTTATGCCTCAGACTGACCAATGGCAGGGCCACAAGTTAGTCCCAGCCAGGAGGGAAGAGCTCTCCTAGCATAATTAAGCCTGACCTTGTAGCCCTCCTTGATTCTTTCCTGAGTAATTAATGGGCTGTGGAAGGTGCAGCAAGTGTTGCCAAAACAAGAACGTTTGTATACATGCTAATCTACCCTTGTTTTAATCAGACTATAAAATAAAGCATCAGCTTGCAGGCTGGGTCTTTTGTGTCTTCATCCAGGCATGGGAGATCCACAGAGCCCCAGCTGTATTATCTTGTCTGTCTTTTCTTCAATCCTTCACTCCCGTCCTCAGTTTCATTCTTGGCCATACTGGTGTGGCACATGTGGCGCCCAACGTGGGGCCTGAGTATGGGGGAACTACAATTGCAAGGTGAAAGGACACTCCAGTGAAGCACGTGCAGAAAGCAAAAATTAAGGGAAGGAGCAAAGTTTAGTAGCAGCTTGGTATAAAACATGGGAAGTTAAGACCTTCCAAATCTTAGGAGTATAAAGAAAAATCAGACCCTCCAGAAGGATATCTGACAGCACCCACCTCACATTGACAACATCTTCCCATCAATGACATCAGCAACTTTGAGAGGAGCCAGAGTATCATCACTGTCAGCAGAAGCCTGAATGCTGAGACCATCACCCCGAGGCTCGCCAACCTGCATTAGCTGTGGGGCCTTCTCATCAAGGAAATGGAGAAGCAGCACCGGCAGCTGGAAGAAGTACAGGGGACTGAGAGAAGCTCCTTGTCCCTTTGGTCAAAAGTCTGGGCATTGCCCCAACTATAGCGATGCGGGAGAAGAAAATGAATGAAGGCTATGAAAGGGACCAAGGTGCTGACTAGCTTTGGTGAGCTGCCAGTTTTCTGTAAAGTCTTGCATGGCCAAATCTGAGGACTGTGAGTAGATAACCTTCATTTTGCAGCTGAAATTTTTATTTTGTAGCTGAAAATGTTAATATGTCTGTAGTTTGGTTTCTCTCTTATTGCTATGTTGCATTAGCATTGTTTTGTTATTGTTTTAATACCCAGAGTTATGTTCAAGTTTACTTTTTTTTGTAGTAGCTTAAAAACAAAAAAGGGTGAGATGTAGGGAGCAGCTCTAGGGTCAAGCCTTGGGCTGACCAGTGGCAGGGCTAAAAACAAGTCCCAGCCTGGAGGGCAGAGCTCTCCTAGCATAATTAAGCCTGACCTTGTAGCTCTCTCATAATTTCTTCCTAAATACCTAATGGGCTGTGGGAGTTGCAGCAAGTATTGCCAAAACAAGAACATTTGTATACATGTTAATCTACCCTTGTTTTATTCAGACTATAAAATAAAGCATCAGCTTGCAAGCTGTGCCTTTACATCCTCATCCAGGCAAGGGAGATCCACCGAGCCCCAGCTGTACACTCTTGTCTGTCTTTTCTTCAATACCACCCCTGCTGAGGTTCATCCTTGGCCCGTGGTTGGCAAACTTCAGCTTGCGAGCCACATGCGGCTCTTTGGGCCCTTGAGTGTAGCTCTTCCACAAAATACCACGTGCAGGCATGTGTACAGTGTGATTGAAACTTTGTGGCCCATGCGCAGAAGTCGGTTTTCAATCTGGGCCCGTCTATTTTGAAGAAGAACTGTTGATATTTGGCTCTGTTGACTAATGAGTTTGCCGACCACTGCCCTTGGCCATGCTTGCATGGCACAGCAGGGCCCAGAGGGGCTCAGAGACATGGGCATAGATCCTGAGCTGGGTGCCGCCTGCCTTGGACAGCATGAAGGGGCAGGCTGAGTCCTTTAGTGTCCCCCTCAGCTCTGTGTTCTCCCAGGAATAACATGGAGGTGTCAGAAGAGTTTTATAGTTTCCTGTTTGCAGGTGAGAAACTGAAGCATTTACATAAAGAAATATGTGTTTGAAGACAGTTGCCTGTGATGACCGGTTGACAAGCCATTAAGTTTCCCTGCCTATATTATCTATCCACTTTTCTATGTATCTCACTACCTATATCATTGTATCTATATATCTATCTATGTAACTATGTATCTATCTAATTATCTATGTATCTATCTGTATAACTATGCATCCATATATCTATGTAACTAAGTATCAATTCAACTCTATGTGTCTATGCATCTATACATCTATGTATGTTAGTATCTCTCTATGTATCTATGTCTCTAAGTGTCTATGTGACTATCTCGATATCCATCTATGCATCTACATATCTACCTATGTCAATATTTGTTTGTGTATCTGTGTTACTGTATTTCTATGTATCAATATCTATGTCATCCATCAATCCTTCTGTCGACTGTGTCTTTCTCTGATGAATTAATTCTGTCTGGCTCTCATCTGGGCACCGCCTCAGCCTGGTTAGGAAATATCTCAATAGCAATGACTCCCGGAAACCACGGCCTCTCCAAATAGGAGAATGTGGGACTGGGAGAAGCCACACTGCCTTCCTGAGAGACCACGGAAATGAGCCCATGATCTGGCCACTGCACACTTCCTGACCGGCCAGGCCCTGCCTCCCTCACCCGGGACAAGGGCAGAGAAGCCGCTGTGAGGCTGCCGCTCATGTACTCCCATCCCACCACCCTCCTGGGCCTGGGTGAGTCAGAACGCAGGGGGGAGGGCCATAGAGCAGAGGGGCAGGACTGTGGGGGGCACACAGGCACCACCTTCGCCCAGTGCCTTGGCAGCCCACTCAGCCTGCTGACCCTGCTTCTTTGTGCCACCTGGGCCCCAGCTCTGGTGGAGGGACCTGGCTGGTCTAGACACTGGGAAGGGAACAGGTCAGACACAGACACGGCCTGGGGGGTACTCTGGTGGGGAGGCCTCCTGGGAACCTGTCTGGGACCTGTTATAGGGGAGGGAGCTATCCCATGGGAGCCATGCTGACCAGGGGTGTTGAAGGTGGTGGGAGATGCAGTCCTTGACCCTGTTTAAGGTCACCGGGTAAGCCAGAGGGCACTTGTCTCACTGGGGCTTCCCTTGCAGTGCTCTGCCTGGGCCGGACGATCCACATGCAGGAGGGTGAGTTTGCCTTTTTTAACTTAGTTTTTCACACAAGTTTCATGTTCAGGGAAAATATTGATTTTTCCTTAGAGTCCTCTCCCGGTGTATCTTTACCTGGAATGAGCCCTGAGCCTCTCTCTTTGTCTGGATCTGTCTGCTCTGACACCTTCTGGCTAAGTTACCTTCAGAAATCCATCCTGTCTTTCACTTTCACAAACACCATTTCCCCATGTACCACAGCCTCTTCCCAGACTGAGGGCTCCAGTGCTGGGCTTGGCTCATTCCCATCTGACCCTCTGGTCTGAGCTCAGGGCTTCCCACCTCTGCCTCTGATGAGAGGTCAGGTCTGCCCTGCTCACCCTGAGCCTCCTACACTCAGCCCTGGGTGAGTATCACAGCGTGTGGATCTGGTTTGCACACTCCCTCCTCAGCCCTGTGCTCCCTCTACCCTTCCCCCAAGAAGTCAGGGATCCTTGGGTGTTTCTCCTATTTGTGGAGCCAGTGGCACAAGGCGGCGTCTGTAAAGGGACAGATGGGAGCTGAGCTGTGGCTGAAGGAATGAGGGGATGACTAACCAAGGGAATGAGTGCTGGGGCTTGGCCAGCTCTGGCTCTATGGGGATTGAGTAACTTGGATCCCTTCTTCCTGTTTCAGGGCTAGAGCCCTCTCTTTCCCTGCCCAGCCCAGTTTAGACACTTGGGGTTTCAGGAGCCTCAATCACAAGGAAGTGGAAATGGGCTGAGAGGGTGGCAGGAAATGCAGAGGGAACGTGAGTGAGTGCTGCTCAGAGGACGTGCCCTGGAGTGGGGGTCTTCACCACTGGGGTCCTGGGAGCAGGTCTGGGCTGGTGTCCATTCCCACATCCTCTAGACTTCCCATGGGGCCCTGCAACCCCCATTGGTCCACACAGTCTCCCCCAGCTGCTTTCAGACCAGGCCAGGTATTTCTACCCTCTACACATGAGCATCCCTGTCCCCCGAGTGACCTGCTCAACCTCACCCTCTGTCTCCCTCCCAGCCCTGTCTGCCCCCCTGGAGAGTGACTGTGGGGAGGGAGACATGACCGGGGCCTCAGTCTGCTCTGACATCTCCCATGTCCCCCTGAGAAAAGCCCACGATGTCACCAGAACTTGTGTCACCTGGAGAAGTCATTGGAGTGATGAGGATTCCGTTTCCTGGAGGGGGTAGAGGAGTGGAGTTTGGGGAAGGGATGGTGCGAATGGTGTAGATTTGGGCTGTGGTGAGGGTTTCTCAGCTCTGTGAGTTTATACTAAACCATTGACATATACACTTAGAACACGGGAGGTGTGAGGTTGGAGATTTCCTCATGATGGAGACTGAGATCCTGCTCTGCTTCCTCCCAGGGGTCTGGCCCAAACCCTCCCTCAGGGCCGAGCCAGGCCCTGTGGTCCCCCGGGGACGGCCTGTGACCTTGGTGTGCCGGGGCCCAGCTGGGGCTGAGCTCTTCCGCCTGGAGGAGGAAGGAGGATCTGTACGCCCTGATCAGAAAAGTGTGTCTCAAGATGGTTCGCAGGGGACAGAGGCCAGATTCCTCTTCGTCTCGGAGAGTAAAGACACTGCTGGGAGCTACCTCTGCCTCTATCGTAAAGGTTACTACTGGTCTGAGCGCAGTGAGGCCCTACAGCTGAAGGTGACAAAGGAGGACGTCTCTACTCCGCCCTCAGGTTGGTCCCGGCGCCCTGCACCCTGTCACAGCTGTGTCTCTGTCCTCGGGCTCCCTGTCCTCCTGCTCAGCCCCAGCCCTGGGCTCTCCTCCCTCTGCACACATGGCCCTCGGATCAGGGCCCTGGAGTAGGTCCCATCTGGTCACCAGGATGGCCTGGACCCTGAGCCCCGCATCAGAGGGGACACAGAGCTGTCCCTGATGGGTTGGGTGGGGCCTGAGCTTCCAGCCACCAGGTGGGGACAGACCCCTTCATGGGGCCTTGAGTCCTTCCCCTCAGGATGGTGGTGCCCTGCCCTTTCCCCTGGCCAGGCTCTGTGGGGCCCAGGCAATGTGTCCCCTGGGGTCCGCCCTCCTTGGTCAAGTCCCGTGGTTCATGGGGTCCCTGACCAGTGCTGTGCGATGGTTTGGGCATTTTTTGGATGAGGCTGGCCCGGGCTTGGTGTGGTCAGAGCCTGAGATGAACTGGAATTAGGTCCAGCAAGGACATGGAGAGGAATGGAGGGAGGGAGGGAAGAAGGAGGGAGGGAGTGGGGAGGAAGGAAGGGAGGGAGAGAGGGATCGAGGAGGGAGGGAGGGAAAATCCTTCCTTGAAAACTGAGTGACTTCGCTCTCCTCTCTCTACATCCTGCTGTGACTCAGACATCCATGGGTGGGAGCAGATGCCCTGTGGTGGCCCCCATCCTCCAGGCCTGAGGTGTCCACTAGTTCATCCTGACCCTGTGACCCTCCCCGACCTGGGGGACTTTGGGTGGCACAGTGGCCGGGTGAGGTGAGCTCAGAGTCCCGGCCCTGTGATGCTGTGGCCGAGTCAGGGGGCTCCCACCCTGTGTGTCCATGGGCCAGGACCAGCTGATCTGTGCTAATATAGGGAGGATGGCGGGACATTCTGAGGGGTGGCCAGCCCCTCAGACAAGTGGAATCAGAGAGGGTGTCACCCCAGTGTCCTTGTCTCCCTGAGCCCTTTCTGGGGGGTTTCGGGGGCGTCGTCTATACTGGGAGGTGCAGAGAAAGAGGCCAGGTGAGGGCGCTGTGGCCGGTGAAGGACCAGGTGAGTAGGGCAGGCAAAGTGGAAGTTGGGCTCAGTGCTTGCCCTGCCCCTTTCAGGGGAGCCCCTGGAGACCTCAACTCTCACCCTGAACGTGGACTGGGGAGGGGGACCAAAGCCTGGGCGTCCCCTCCTCAGACTCTGCTGGGCAGTGGGTAGTGGGGTGGCCGTGGGAAGGGGCTCTGCCTCTCTCACGGTGGGGCACACATGGAGGGCAGTGACATTTACATCCTCAACAGCAAGAGACCAGTTCACCGCTGTCGGGAGGTGGGCGGTGAGGGGGGGGGGTGAGAGCCAGGAGGGAGATGCGCTAGGTCCCCGCTGGAGTTTGATGAAATGCAGGTTTCCATTTGGCAGCTGGGCCCACCCTGGGGTCCTCTAGGTGACTGGCTGTGGCACCTGGGGACGTGCACCTAGGGCTCCTGAGGTGTTGAAGGTGGAGGTATTCCTGGAGCGGGGTCTGGGTGCTCCCCATGGAGGGAAGTTCCCTGCGGGAATCAGGAGGAAGGGCGTCCAGAGAAGGGGAGCAGCTGCCTGAGACGTCTGTCACCCTTTCCTGTCTCCTAGCAACACGATCTGCCATCACCCTCCCACAAATTGAAGTGACACCTTCACCCACAGAAACAGCCTCCCAGACAGCTCAGCCATCGGGGAGTGTGCACAGGGTGTAGAGGAAGGGGCAGGTCCCCCCCATTGAGAAGGCGCTCCAGCCTCCTAGGGCCTGGCCTGAACCTGTCCACCTGTCAGTGACCACTGCCCTCTGCTTCCAGGCCCCGCCTCCTGGGATTACAGGGTGGAGAACAGCATCCGCTTGGGCCTGGCGGGCGTGGTCTTGCTGATCCTGGTGGTGATTCTGGTGGAAGCTGGGCTCAGCCAGCGCAGGTCCCCACAGGGACCACAGGAGTAAACACAAGGGAGCCCCCCAGCGAGAGGGGACCCCAGGGCCCCAGAAGGGACCTCCCCGAGGGCCCAAGGCTCACCCTGGAGCCCAGGAGACCCAGAGCCACCCCCGCTGTTGTTCAAGGACAAGAGAACCCAGGCCCACGTGGGTGAGGATGGTTGGCCTCAACCTTCATCTTCCCAGGACCATTGAGAGGACTCAGCTTGATTGACAGGCAGACAGACAAGGCAGTGCCCCACGGACAACAAAGGCAGGTGGAACGGAGGCAGGGCAGACACGGCCACGTGAGCCAGCCTAACCACGGAAGCCAACCGCGCAGAAATATAATGTTTTAGACGTGAAACTAGGAAGGGGCTGTAACACTAAGGTTCAGGTCTGCTTCTGGTCAAGAACAATTGAGAGAATCAATCAGGTGTCCACAGGGGGAGATAGAGAGCAGGTTTGTAGCAAATATGTACCCCTAGACCACAGGCTTCCGTGGCCACCATGACTGAGTCCACTCCCCATGCAGGGAGTCTGAATCTGCTTGCAATAAAGTTTCCCCACTTTTGCTTCAGTCTTCTGGTCTGAGATTTTATTCATAGGGTTCCTGCGACTTGATCCTGTGAAATAAATTTGGGCTCGCTATTCTGGGTATCACCATGATCCCCAGCCCAGCCCCCCAGGGCCTCTAAGACACGGGAGGGAATCAAACTGCCCTCCATCAGGTGGGTGGGCTCCTCACATGGGCTGAAGAGAACAGGACTGAACCCGGATTCTGCTGGGAAAACTTGCTGGGGCTTGAGCTGCAGCAGCAGCTCCCCTGGTCTCCAGCCGCCAGCCCTCCCTGCAGATTTTGCACTTGCCAGACTCCTGAACTGTGTGAGCCAATCCTGCCCCAGACATTTCTCTGTATATACACGCCTGTTGGTCCTGTGTCTGTGACAGACCTGCACTGATCCAATGGGCACCCCATTTCTTTTGGGGGGTTGGGGGATATGAAAATAATTTTAAATGAAGTAGAATCAATGGCTCACAAGATGGTGAATGGACAAAATGCCACTGGATAGTACACTTTTCCCCCTTCTGATGATCTTATTTGTATTGTGGACACAATGACAGAAGTTCCCCTTCCTCCCATCCCCCACCTTTGCCCTCCTAATGGCCCAGCTCTGCCTGGGGCCTGCCTGGGGCTGCAGCCTCCACAGCCATCCCTGGGCTGGGAGCTGAGGAGTCTCAGGCCTTTCCCTCCAGGTCCTGACTCTCCTCTGTCTCCTCCTCCTGGGGGGTCCCTCTCCTGGAAGGTCACAAGGATGCGCCTCAGTGTTGTGAGGGGGGAGGCTACGGGACCACCTTCCCTAGGACAGTGTCTGAGTTCTGTGCCCTAAATGCAAAATGGACCCATGAAGGCTCATCAGCATCCAGACGGGAATCCAGCCACCAGCCTGGGCCCATCTGGGTCTTTGCAAACTCAACCTTCCCAGAAGCCCCCGCCCACCACCATGACTCTTTCTTGAGTGCTTTTGCTTCAGTGGATTTGGGGGCTTTCAGTTTAGAAATAGCCAGAGGCAGCTGGAGGCAGGGGAGTGTGCGGGTGGCAGCTCAGGGTCACAGGGCACAGAGACACGGGCATCGAGCCTGAGCCCGGTGCCACCTGCCCTGCAGAACATGAGGGGGCAGGCTGAGTCCTTCCTGTGTCCCCCCCCCCACTCCCTGCGCTGCCCCAGTAACAGCATGGAGGTGTCAGGGGAGTCTATGGTTTCCCGTTTGCAGGTGAGAAACTGATGCATTTGCATAAGGGAATGTGTGGTTTGGGGACAGTCAGCTTGTGAGGGCCA